GGGGCGAGAGGGGAAAGAGGGGGGGGGTCGACAACCTTCTTGTTTGGTGTAGCATGTAGTCTAGTATGCTTTCCGTGCGGCGCGTTTGAATCCTCACTTGAAGTTGCCCGTGTGTGTTGTGTAGGTTGTTGTCCTCTCGAGGAGGAGCATACAAAGTGAAAGGTAAAGGTGCACACTTGGCATGCACTTTTCGTTTGACAAAGCGCTATATACAACCCCCGTGACATTGCCTGTGGTGCCGTGGTGCGGAGATGCAAACCAAGGGTATCTCTCCCCTTTTGACGACTGCATGTTGTAGCACAGTGACAGACGACCTCGAACGAAATTCGTTTGTGTCCAGGCCTTGTTGTCCTTCTTTCTTCTCGAAGGAGGATTGATAATATATATATCTGTTTCCCTCTACTCTCTAGTATGGCCTTTTTTTGTTCACGTCTGCCCCCGTCAACCAAGAAACCCACACTTTTGTATGCTATATATACGTACCGTAATTGGCGTAAGATGCCACACCCCGTGGACAGGAGTTCCAAACGAAGAAGGTAAATATTCTAATCCTTCCATGTAAACATTAAGGAATAGTATAAACACACACAGAAAGACTACCCATTCGAGATATACCCACAGTCGAACGGGATGTGGTGGAGTCTTTTCAGTGAGTGGAGGGAAACCGCCTGGGTACATCGAAGACAGTTATTATTGCCCGTTCTCCATGGCTGCTCGGATAATATTCGAAGGTAGGTATGCGCATGGAGTGTGTGTGTGGTACCTTATGCAACGCACTGCGCACCCTAAAAAAGACGGATATCAGATTCCTGGATTTGGCCACGGACGCCGTCGGGTCTTTGCTCGTCCACACTACGCCCGGCTACGGATGGTATAGTCTAAAGTGTGTAACAAACCCCCTCTCCCTCGCTCTCACACGATCTTCTTGTTTGTTTGTTTTCCCTTAGTTCTCTCCACGTCCTGCCACTCCGCTTGCTAGGAAGAACGAACATACGTACACTTATTTCTCCCACAGCAGCAGTGTTCGGTGTGTGCTTTCTGAAGCCAACATGACTGCGTAGTGTCGGCGGTGATCCTGGCGGGTCTCTAAGAGCATCTATCTCCTCTGTCTGGATGAAGTATGTCGAACCTGCTTGCTTTCTTCCGGAAAAAATATCAGAAACAAAGCCGTGAGCTTCCCCCGGTCCATTGTCATCACGTTGTCACTTGTACCCATAAACGAATTCAGTCAACGTTGCTAGTGAGTGTTCTCTGCGCTCAGAGCACAGATGGACGGGAAGGGGCATTGTTTGGTTACAACGCAAGTGTTTGATGGATTCACGCTGCTCCTCACACCACCTCCGGTGCAATCCGGTGCGCTCTCATTGATCGGTGCAACCCCGATCCCCCCCCTTTGTCCCAAAGTGTTTTTTTTTTTCGAGATTGGCGGGGAAACTTCCATTTACTTCCGCATCCAAACAGCCGCGCCGCCGCTCTCGCTGACGGCAAACTGACAGCACTATTTGATTGCCCTCGGTCTCTCTCTGCTGTCGTCCTCTCCTTTGATCCCTTTGGGCCGTTCTCTGCAGAAGCAGAGGGGCTGTACAACTTCTTGGCCTTCGGCGCTAGAACGCGTGAGATAGCCGCACTCCACGGCACGCTCATCAGGACTTGGGACAACCCGCCGGGTCGTTTCGACCGTCCAAGTCAGGAGAAAGGGGGACACCGTCTCATCTAGGTGAGAGAGAGACAAATATGCTTATTTGCCAACGTGCCAGCGTCAGCGATAGCAAGCAACACCCGCCGCTAGCGTACCGCACTCGAACACCCGCCGCCTTTCTTGGCGACCGGCTGGTGATCGAGCCTGGCAGCCAGCGCGGTCAGGCGAGGCTGCTGTCATCATCGGTCTTCTCTTTTTATGCTCTTCGAAAAAATTGAAACGTGACGACACGGCGGGTGTGCTGGTACACACTGCTGCAAATGCAGACTTCGGGGCACGACGAATTGAATGTTTGTGGCAGGACCGCGGGCGTTTCGATGCGTCACGCGGCGGCAGAGGACGTCGCGCTTTTGTAAGCACGCGTACGTACTTTTTAGTACTCGAGACGTGGTGGATTCTTCCGTGGAAAACTGCTGCGTCATGTCGGGAGGAGTTGATCCCTCATGTGCTCACACACACCACGTTGATTTGTTGTCGTTTGGCCACAGGCGGCAAAATTGCGGAAGAAAAACGCTCCACTGGCCGCGGACGGTACGTTGGAACGTTCCGAAGTTTGCTGACTTTTGCAGCAACCTGCCAACTGCTGCCGCCATCGATCATCCATACCGCCGTTGTTCCTAATTTGGTGTGCACACTGCTGTGTCTGTGGTCGTGCATTTTTGGTTCCGAACTTGTTGTGTGTTGGGAACACGGCAACAGAAGGGGTGGAGGCGGAGGCAGACGCGCGGCGGCGCCACCAAACCAGCAGTGACTGACGATCACGCACTCCTCCTCCCGTCAAGAGTTTCAGCGCCACGAGGAATGGAACTAAGCGAGCTCTCTATGGAAATGATCAGCATGAGTTCAGCAGCGAACAACAAGATGGCCGACGGCAGCGGCGGCGGCAGCACGGCGGCGGCGCTGGGGCACCACTCCCAGTCCTCCACCAACATGAGCAAGTCCATCAGCGGGGCTTCCCTCTCCTCCTCTCAGGCAACGCACCGTACCCAGTGCAGCTCGGGGATGAGCTCGGTGTCCGCCCGCCTCGGGAACCTCTCGAGCTCGCCCGCCTCCCCGTTAGCGGACACCACCACAACAACTTCGGGCGCCGGCGCCGGCGGAGCGCCGGCGGTGGCAGCGGCAGCGGCGGGTCACCCACACCCGGTCGCCGCCGCCCCGGTCGCCGGCGGAGGCAAGACGGTGCTCGCGGGCGTCGCGCCGTCCTGCTTCGGGAAGCTGCGGCGGCGGGGCAGGTTCTCCAAGTGGCGCGAGTCCGTCTACTTTGAGCTGCGCAGCACGGCGCTGCTGGCCTTCACCGACAACAAGCCCGGCAAGAACACGGGTACCACTGCTGGTGCCGCGGGCGGCGGCGGCGGCAGCAGCAGCAGCGGCGGAAGCTTCGCGTGCCTCGCCGCCAAGATCATGCACCCGCGGCACTCGGCACACGCCGGGGTGGAGTGGGGCTGGAGCATGGACCTGTGCGGGGCGGAGCGGGTCGTCGAGCTTCCGGGGTCGACGAAGAAGGACACGTTTGCCTTCGCGGTTGAGTTTCCGGCCAGGGACAGGAAGAAGACGCTGGTGCTCGCCGCACCGACGGCGGTCGACCGGGAGAGGTGGATGGCGGCGATGGACAAGGCGAAGCGTTGCGTGCACGCGGAGGTGAGAGCAAAGAAAGCTCCTGCAATTGGTGTTGCTGCACAGCCAGAAGCAGAATCTTGAGTTCGGTGCCAGCTTGAGGAACATGAATCGTGTGTTTTACACCCGTTTAGGATACCCGCTACGTAATATTGTTCTTATTGCGAACGAGCGTGCGCACACACATGGATGTACCATTACTTGCGTGAACATGTACGTACCATATGCATATATCCATGAGGAGAGCTCCAAAATGTTTCGTGTACTACATATTTCATCACCTGATGCCGCAGCAGTACGCAAAGAAAAAAGTTTCATTGCGTGAAGTGTTCATTTTTTTGGCGTCCACCGGCCTGAGAAGAAGCCACGAAGCACTCGTCATGAATTTAAAGCGCTCTTGTGTGCGTCTCCCTCTACCGCCCCACGTTTTAAGAAGTATTTTTCTGTGTGTGTACTTATTTTAGTAGATTTACCGTGTCTGGCGTTCATTCCCACCCGACAAATGTATATATTCTGAAAAGTGAGGGATGGGGGGAAAGCAAAAAGCACCAACGCGGCCGGCTTCAGCAGCCTCAGCAGCCGCAGCGCGAGAAGTCATCACGATTTGTCTTCTATTTAGTCTCCCGTCCTCATGACCGTTGCATACCGCTGCTGCGACTGTAAGAACAGCGCAAGCTCGGCTTGCAGGTCTTTTCGCAAAAAGCGAGAAGAGAGGACCGTATGTAGGTATTGAGACCCCTGTAGTGGCCCCCCGAAAATATATTGATACCATGGGTCGGCACGCTTCCGTCCCACGTACCACCCCTCTTCTGCCGGACAACATTATTTCCTACATGCCAGGTACTAGTATTTTACCAGGTTTGCATATATATGAAGTGAGTTTCTTTGCCAGGCCAAGCTGTCTGCTGCTGCCGCGTGATATCTAGCTTATGGGATACTCGAAGTATATAGAGATGACGACGATCGTCGAACAATTCCACAATTCCGCATCATCGGTCGGTCTCCAGACGAAAAACAGCGAGGCAGCAGCACGCGTGCGTGGTATGCTGCTGGCTGCACAGATAAACCTGTTCTCTGTGAACCTACGCTGCTGTTCTTTCGGCCACGCTTGATGTTTCTACGGACAGCCCCCCCTAAGGTACGTTAGGCCGTCCTTTCCAGATTATGTATAATTTACGGTTGTTGTCGGCGTTTTGTACTCTGCGGGATCGATCATGTGTCTGTCCAATCAGGAGCGCACACGCCTAGCTGGCATGGGAGCATGTTGGTGGCTGCTTCGCACGAAAGGGCCTGTATCGATCAGCAGCAGCACGTACACGTATATAAATGCGCCAGTGGCTCTTTTTTTCTCGAACAGATCCCGCCGCCGCAAGCGGAGCGATAGATAGCGTGCACCCGTTTGTATGCGCGTATTTATTAATATATATCTAAATTAAAAGAGGGACTGCTGTGTGTTTAATCGAGGCTGTCTTTTAGGCGTACGCATGCGCGGAATATGAGTTGGTGATAATTGACGTCACCTCTTGGCCTCTGGTACGTCCAGCCTGCCCTGCCAGCCGCCGCCTTTTTCTGCACCTGTACCGTTGGGTCAAGCGGCAGCCACGAGCACCTTTATTTCTTTTTCTTTTTTGACGCCGCGTGCACTACTGCTGTGGGGTCTACAAAGCGGGCAGACGACTGCGTTTAGCAAGACGAGCTGGCTCCTAACTAGCCTCCCCATTGTTATTATGTTATTGTGCAGTAGAGGGAGGTGGTAATAGAAGAAATTTGCTTGTATTTGTTAGATCCACCATGTTTTTCGGTGTGCAGGAACAATAGACGCCTGACGCCCCAGGCGTGAAAGGGCGGGAGACTCGCTGCCGCGCATGTCGACTCTCTACGGAGTCTACTTCAAACTCTTGGGAGGGAAAAACACCCGACGCCGACGTTGGTTTGCCCGCCCGTCGAACGTGCCTCTTGTCTCTCTCTTGTCTCGGAAGGCATGCTTGTTGCGACGCCCGGCACGTATGCATATATGATAGCTTCGATGGTTGCCACCGCCCGTGTTTCGCGCGGTCTCGTGTTTTTAGCACGCACGATCTCGCCGCAGGGTGTATCGTGGTTGCGTCCATGGACGGTAAACAGCAATATTTGCAACTTCATTGATTATTTGGTGGATTCCTGAAAGGTCGGGTGTGCATTTTTCTCGCTGCATCTGCTCGACCCTCCATATTTTTATTTCCTGTCTGCACGGGCGGGAACAAACCAGCGGTTATACACACCTAGGGACAAGAGTCGCCCCATTCAAGCTGATCGGCACCCCCATCCAACCGAACGAGGTTTTGTGACACGTATTCAACAATGAAAAATACATGTAAAATATACGTTATGGGTGTGTTTGGGCGGGTTTGTCGTTGAGCAAGCAGGGAGAAGAGAACTGCCATAATTTTTTACTTTTTATTTGTCAGTAATTTTTTCGGCGAGCTGACTACCTCGAGTATTTAATATTACCAAATGTTAGTGTGTTTCCGGACGGTTTGTGCTGTAGGTAACATGCGCCGAATGTACAGATGCACGACGTATGTATATTACTATTGTTAATGTGTTTCCGGACCAGCGACACGTCGCCAGAAATCCCTACTGAGAGCTGTTTATTTTTAGTCTCCGCGCATGCACATGCATGTCAAATTGCCTCTGACTATTTTTTTTCTTTGGTGCTTCATACATGTAGAGACGCTAATCCCCGTAGCCATACGCAATAAACCTGCCCCGCTTGTTACGGTCGGTTTCGCGTCTTGTGCCTACGGCTGCAGCGATTGGCCATGTGCCCGAAAAGCCATAAAGGGAGAGCTGCTCAAGTACGGCACTCGGACGTGGACACATTTTGTAAACACCACGTTATATTTTCCGCGCAATTTCTCCGCGACAGGATGGGAGAACTTCGGCGTAGCTGCCGGTTCGGGGAGAGATTTTGACGTCGTTTGTTGCTCTTGCAGTTAAATGGCACGGAAACATACGCGGGGGTCCACGTGACCTCCGTGCAGCAATCATTGTTTGCCCTATTGCGCCCACCCGCCGGCACCGGTCTCCTCGTGTTATCTATATCCATCCGCGTTCTCATGGTACCCGCTGCTACTCAGGCTTACGTCTCTCTGCCTTTTCTTGTGCTTGTGCTTGTGCTTATGCTTGTGCTTCCGTGCCCACGACCATGTGCCAAAAACAACGGCCGCGAATTGCGCTTCAGAATTTTGAGCCCCTGTCCGTGATCGGAGAGGGCCACTTCGGCAAGGTGTTGTTCGTGCGCTGGAACAACGGCGCTACCATCTCCTCCTCCTCTTCAAGCACCGCTGCCACTAGCAGAAGCAGCAGCGGCAGCAGCAGCAGCAGCGGCGGCGGCGGCGGGAGAGATAAAAGGCCCTCGGCGGCGGCGGCGGCGGGATTGTTTTCCTCCGCAGCGACGATCGACGAGGGAGCGGAAGAGGGGGGCGGCAGGGAAGGCGGCGGCTATGCGATCGGCGAGGACGTCGACAAGGCCCGTGCCGACGAGGCCGAAACCGACGCCGAGGACGCCGACACCGACGCCGAGGCCGCGGACGCCACCACCAAGGCCGCGGACGCCACCACCAAGGCCAACACCATAGCCAACACCAAGCCGGCGTCCTCCTCCAAGTACAGCGATCGCACCGTGGAGGACTCGATCTCCCGCAGCGGCCGGCACGGCTGCGACCGCTACCTGGCGGTGAAGGAGGTGGCCCTCCACAAGGGCACCTCCCTGCCGGGAGTCCTCAACGAGCGGCAGATTCTGGGCGTCCTGCAGGAGCACCCCTTCGTCGTGACCCTCCGCTGCGCGTGGCGCAGGGGCAACTACCTGTACTACGGCCTGGACTTCCTGCCCGGGGCGGACCTGTTCGAGCTGTTCCGCCGCAACGCGATAAAGATGGACCTGCAGTCCGCCAGGGTGTACGGCGGGCAGGTGGCGCTCGCGCTGGAGCACCTGCACAACCACGGCATCTGCTACAGAGATCTCAAGGTGCGTGTTGTGTGTGTTGTTGTGTGTGTGTAAGCGTGCACTCGACGGGCGGTTGCTTGGGCGTTTGTTTTGTTTTGGTTCCGTATCTGACGTCCTCCAATTGGTTCTTGTGCTATTGTGTGCTCGTGCTGTGCACGGGTGTCTGGTTGTTATCGTGTTGGTCGCTGTGTCGGCGTCGACTCTGTTCTATAGCCGTCGTTTGGGGTTCTGCGGCAGGTGGCAAGTCTTGTCTCTCGAGAGAAGGGACAACGCGAGCGCTTTACATCTGGTTATCCTGTATTTGCTTGTGTTTTTGCTGGCGCGCCGTCTTGCTGTGCATTGTATGCGTAACCCACTTCAACTTGGAAACGGTTATGTGGACTACTTGACTATGCATACATCTGTAGCAAGACTGCACACAGATTTGTAAATTTTTCTCCATGGTTGGTCGAGGTTCGAACATCAAAAACACGTCTGCTGTGGGTTGGTCCAGCCTGCTTACTTTATTTTCAACTTGCATCACACCCTTTTGATGACACTGCAGTGCTCTCATCGAGCCCGCCCCGGAGCGACCCCTTGTATGCATGTGATGTTTTGCGTATCCCCGGCAAGCGCACTGGCTCAGGCAGCAGTCGAGTTAGATCACGCGTGGGCCTCAGCCTGCAGTGCCGGTAGGCTCTATCACCAAATACTATTTTTTGTCTGCCTTGGGCCTGTGTTCTCTTAGACCCGTCCTGTTGTGGTTTTTCATGTGGCCCATCACGCAGCGAACTCTGAAGGCTCCCCCCCCACCGGCTGACCCCTTTTTTTTTCGTATCCTGCGTCGCCCCCCTCTGTGTGTTCCTTGCTCGTTCCTCGTTCTTTTTCCGCGATCATCTTACAACGCGTACACGGTACATTGCTACGATGACGGCCTCCGTTGCCGCCGGCTCAAAAACGAACCATAAAAACAAATAAAAAATCGAACGAACGAACGAACGAACGAACGAACAAACAAACAAACAAACGAACAGCCCGAGAACATCCTTGTCGACGCCAAAGGCCACCTGTGCCTGGCCGACATGGGCCTCAGCAAGATTTTGGGCACGGGCGAGAACGCGGTTCGGACGATGACGGTGTGCGGCACCAGGGCCTACCTGGCGCCCGAGATGGTCCTTCGCAAGCCCTACGGCCTGTCTGTGGACTTCTGGCAGTTCGGCTGCTTCGTCTACGAGCTCTACGCGGTGAGTTGTTGGTTGTGTTTGTCGTAGTTATTTATAGATATCCCGCCCTTTTTGTTTTTTTTTCCGTTGATCTCGTTTGGGAACACATCGTGTGGTATGATAGTGCGTGTTTATTGTTTCGTCGACCGCTGTCCGGCTGACCAATGAAAAAACGTCAGTCTCGGTGCGGCTGAAAAAAAAAAACTTTTTAAGGTCGTGTTGTGTGTGCTTTTGTTTGATTGGCATCGACCGCGCTACTGCTGTGTAGCTGTGTACCTGACACTCCAGCGTTTGCATCAGCAGCAGCACCAGGTGTTTCGTGTGACCCGCAAAGCCACTCGCTCTGGCCTACTCCTGCCCTGACGTGACGCCTCCATCGCGAACAAGTAATAGTGGTGGTGGTAGTGGAGTGTCTAGTGCGAGCGCATTTCTGGTGGTGGAAGGAATTTGGGCTATAATGACCGTTGATGCTTAGATACCGATCCCCAACTCCGAACAAAACTCGGCCTCTTTCAAGTAAACGCGGCGTTCATATAATACCCGACGGAGCACGTTTCTTTGTTCATGTCGTGACCCTCCCCCTCCTTCCGACGTAAAAAATTCTCCCTCCACAGGGCCACTCCCCCTTCTGGAAGCCGAGGTCCGGTCCCCCGGGCCGCTCGCACGACCAGACCGTGGCCCTCATCCTGGCTGGCGAGATCCACTTCCCGAGATCCATCGGCCCCGTCGCCAAGGCCCTGATCAAGGACCTCTTGGGCAAGGAGGTGGAGGCCCGCCTTGGCTGCAGGCCTTCTTCTCCCTCCTCCTCGTCCGTCCCGCCGCCGCCGGCAGCACCGGCTTCTTCCGCTGCAGCGGCGGGGGCGGCGGGGGGCAGCAGCAGGGGCCCCGGGACGTTGGCCGCGCGGCCCGCCGCCGCCGCCGGGGGCTGGCTCAGCGTCAAGCAGCACGGGTTCTTCAAGGACATGGACTGGGAGGCGCTGCTGAGGGGGGACGTGGCCGCGCCGATCAAGCCCGCGGGGATGGGGCGGAGCATGGTGGGCAACTTCGCGAGGGAGTACACGAGGCAGCGCGCGGGGTGGGGCGGGGACCAGCAGGAGCTGCGCGACGTGGCCGAGAAGGAGGGGCTGTTCAAGCGAGAGCTCATGGGCTTCGACTTCGTGCGCGGTTGACCGATCGGCCGGTAGAACACGGGATTTATTTCGAGTCTGTTGATATATGTATGTTTTTTTTCGGTGTGTGTGGTTTGTCTGTGAGTGTGTGTGTGTGTGTGTTTTGATGCTAGTTTCGGTCGGCTCCTGAGAAGGGAGACAGAATTGTGGCGGGCTCTCTCGACTAGACAACAGAGGCGAATCTGAATTTGGGGGGGGGGGCGGGGGGGAGGGGCTGCCCTAGATTTGTTGTGCTTGTGTTTTGCGGCCTCCCTTTCTTGCCCTCGACATTCCAGCCAACCAATCGCGTTTCCGAATTGAGTATTGGACGATGTACCACGTTGTTACAGACCACCCGCGGGTCTTCATTCACCCAAGCACGTAGCCTACGTTTTTGCTTCAGCGTCGGTGGATGTCTTGTGGCCGTGTTTGTTGCATGTCGATCCAGGCCCATCTAATACGCCTAAAAAAGCAAGCAGTAAGTGCCACATATCCTACGGCGGTCTCTTAAGAAGGGCAGCAACGCGAAGTTGCAGGCTTTTCCCGGCCTCCGTTTCGAGAGTTTCGTGTGTGTGTGTGCCGTGTGCCGTGTGCCGTGTGCTGTGGGGCTCGCGTCCGGTTCCGGGTCCGGTAGGATTTTTGGATGGAACCTTACGTTTTTTCTCAGCACGCAATAACGACACTTTGTATTGGCGTTGATTGATTGGTGTTTGCGTGGATTGTTCGCTGTTGTGCTGACTTGCGTCAGCAGCAGCAGAGGATGATTGCGCAGATTTTGGGTTGTGCTTGTTGTGCTGACTTGAATCAGCAGCAGCAGGATCAGCAGCAGTGCGGCAGCGCCGAAGAAGAGATGGAGTCTTTGTACGTGTACAATATGTCTTGTGCTGTAGACCAGCGGACGAAGTGCGGTGCTGTCCCACCGTTCGGTTGTGTGTGTGCGCGCACGACGACCCTTACGTACCACCGATAGGACCATTTTTGTTTTCGTTTTTTTTGTTTTTGTTTGCTAGTTCCATTCCGGTGGGTGTGTCGGTGTCGGTTTTGTTGTCGGGTGTTTTGCCACTCTGGCGCACGCGAGCGAGACACTGCTCACTCATTATATTCTCTCTTATGATATATTATTGTCGTTGGTCCACTACTATTGTAGTGCGGGGTTAGCGATCAATCACCTCGTCCCCGCGCGATTATTTGCCCTTTTTTTGTTTGTTTGTCGTCTTGTTTTGTGTCTTCCCCCCCTGTGGCAGTAGAGTAGGCGCCTCCGTCGATATTCGTTTTTTGGAGGGGGGAGAGCGTTTGGGATTTTGTCGGTTCCGCGATTTTGCGTAGCGCTACCACTGTTAGTGTTGTAGAAGCTGCACCTTGTGCTCGCTAAGCGTGCTTGCCAGCTGCTGCTTTTCCAACACCGCAGCAGCAGCAGCAGCAAGTGCCCTCACGGCCGTGTCTTGGTTGGTGGGAGAGGCCGCGCTCGTTTTGGTCGTGCACTTTTTGCGAGTGGCAGCCTGTTGCTGCGGCGGGGGCCATGCTCTTGTCATCCTATTGCTGGAGGGATGGCAAGGTGTGTGTTCTGATTGTTTCTGCTCCTGCTTCTGCTGCTGCTGGCAGGTCGGTCTGCGTTTTGTTGTCTGCAGGACGCGTTGTCATGCCTCCCCTTTCCTTGTTGACGGGATTTTTTTGGGAACTTTCTTCTTGAGGAAAGAACCTCGTGCATGCATGGCGCCTCTCCTTCGTAGGTTTGCGACAAGATGTTGGGTGGTTTTGTGCGACGTGTGGGGGTGGGTGTGGACGTAGGGAAAAGGGTCCGCGGCCAAAGGGGGGCGTCTTGTTGGGAGTAGGAAGATATACCATGGAAACGAAAAAAAATTAAAGCGGGCAAATAAAAAGTTGTAGACTGGTCTAATAGTACAGTAAACATGCTTTGGATGATTTTGATTACCTGTACCGGCTCGTGTTGGTGTAGACGACGGGCAGAGGTTGGCGAGAGGCGAGCATTCCCTTCGGGTGCCTGGCTTTTCATTTTTTTTTTGCGTTTGCGTTGGTTGCTGCCTCACAGCAAGAAAGTGCTCGTAGGAGTACGGTATCGCAAATAGAGAGCAGCTTATACGATGTAGAAAGCGCTGCTCGTTGATTGGATGGTGGTAACGTTTTTTCTTCTTTTCCCTCCATCTTTTTTTGGTTGTGTTTTTGCTTCCCGCCCACCTGTTGGTGGTTGTTTGGTGGCGGGTCTAAGGGTAGAAAAGCATGATCGTGATCCTTCCTTGTTGGGTGGTTTTTTCTTGATCCGGGTGCGCAGATATTGTGCAAGGTTGTGGCTGGGGGTCTGTGAAGAAGAACGGGCGTCTCTCTTTGGCTGTGGAGAAGAGGAGACCACGGTGGTATCGGTAGCGTCATGGGCGTGGCCGTTGCCTCAGATATTGATGGCGGTACATTTCTTGCATGTCTTGCCAAACACATACAATACATGATTTCTTGAAGAAACCCGTGCACAGAAGACAAGAACGTTCTTCGGCGGACGTTGGGGAAGAGAGATGGAACCCCCTTTTGTCAAGGTTCTCATCTCAAAATATATTACCCCCCACACAACATTTTTGCGGTAACCATGAGTGGTGATCGAGTAGATCATGTTGTGCGGGGTTGAGAACCCTCACTCCGCGCCAAAAAGGATAACCGCATCACGTTGTGTTCAATTGGTCAAGCACCCTCGGGGCAGTCACACAGTGCTTCTAACTGTCTCTGGAAGTGAAAGCACCAGGAAAAAATAAATAATGTCATACGGAGCTGTCATCCGTACGCAAGGATGTAAGCACAAGATGCCGAACACCCTTAGCAGGATGCAGCGCACCCTTCATGCGACTTGCCGAATACCTCACGGCGCTTCGCGCTTGGTGATGTGAGAGCCTGGTCCGGTGAGAACCCGGCGTGCTCCGTCCCGGTTTTGTAGGGATGCGAGGTCAATGGTCTATCGACTACGGCATGCACGACTGTGATTACACCCCCCCACCCCCCACTCATGCGCTCACACATGTGTAAATTTCGGATTGGCTCTGTTGGCAAAGCGCTGTACAACAGCAACCCCAAATATAGCCCCCACGACGTGTGCGCTACAAAACAAACGCGCGACGCATGGTCGAGTGGAGTGAGGATAGCTGCACAATATTTGGATATC